GTATATATATATATATATATATATATATATATATATATATATATATATATATATATATATATATATATATATATATATATATATATATATATATATATATATATATATATATATATGTATATATATTTCATTAGCCCAATAAAGCATGAAATATATATGGATCCTCGTTTTTCGAAGCCGGATTTGGTAAAACGTTACTCTGACCACCTACGTGATACGGGTGATCCCCATTTGAGGTTCACGGCGCCATAAGCTCGTTGAACAGGCTTTGTGTGAAATATAACAAAGTCTAGGGCTGCTTTTAGTATCCTAGTGGTCCAGCGGTTAGCGTTCCCCGGTCACAGTCATAGGCTTGTGGGCCGTGGGTTCGAATCCTGGCGGGTTGAGGTGTTAATTATATATATATATACTGTATATATATATATATATATACTTCATTTTTAGTCCATATAACACGTGGACTTTGAACATATAATCAGCGACCTCACCAGCAAGGAATCGAACCCTCGACCTACTGGGTGGAACTAGGGAACGCTTACCGGCTAGGCCACAAGGACACTAAAAGCAGTTCTAGACTCTGTTATATTTCACACAAAGCCTGTTCATCGAGCTGATGGCGCCGTGAACCTCATTGGGAAACTGCCCGTGCCTCTTATGTGGTGTCAGTAGCATTTTACCGAATCCAGCTGGTATGAAACGCGAGGTACATATATATACTTCATTTTTAGTCCATATAACACGTGGACTTTGTGGCCTAGCAGGTAAGCGTTCCCTAGTTCCACCCAGTAGGTCGAGGGTTCGATTCCTTGCTGGTGAGGTCGCTGATTATTTATATATATATATATATATACCTACTGTATTTCTGTGTGTGTGTGTCTTACACAATATTAAAACAATTCTTAAAAAAATTTTGAAGCGGCCTAGAAAACAGTGCGTTAATGTTCGAAATAAGGCAAACAGAATATTGGGTTTTATATCTAGAAGTTTAAGTAACAAGAGTGCAAAGGTCTCATTGCAACTATATCTTGCGCTAGTCAGGCCACACCTCGATTATGCGGTTCAGTTCTGGTGCCCCTATTATAGAATGGATATAAATTCACTAGAGTCGGTGCAGCGAAGAATGACGACAATGATTCCGGGACTTAGAAACCTTCCATATCAGGATAGGCTAAAGAAATCTTACCTTGCATTCCCTAGAAACACGAAGAGTGCGGGGAGATATGATAGAAGTATTTAAGTGGGTGAAAGGAATCAATAAAGGGGATATAGATAAAGTTCTTATAATATCCGAGCAGGATAGGACTCGGAGCAACGGATTCAAGTTGGATAAGTTTAGGTTTAGGAGGGAGATAGGAAGAAACTGGTTCACAAATAGGGTGGTGGACGAGTGGAACAAGCTTAGCAACTTTGTAGTAAGTGCGGGAACTCTGGAAAGTTTCAAAAGGAGGCTAGATAGATTCATGGATGATAGAGAGTGGTAATAACTCTCGACAGGAGCTGCCATGCACAGGCCAACCGGCCTATTGCAGACTCCTTATTTTCTTATGTTCTTATGTTCTTGGCAGAAGCAACTGCGAGACTTGAGATGGACGTCCTCGTAATGGAAGCCTTGTATCAATAGCGAGGTCATCCTAAAACTGTATCTTGCTCTTGTGAGACCACACCTGGATTACGCAGTTCAGTTCTGGTCACCGTATTACAGAACGGATATAGAATCCTTGGAAAGAATTCAGAGGAGAATGACAAGACTAATCCCGGGCATTAGGAACCTTGAGTATAGAGACAGGTTAAAGCATCTTAATTTGCACTCCCTCGAGAGACGTAGAGGGAGGGGCGACCTGATAGAGGTGTACAAGTGGAAGGCAGGGCTAAACAAAGGGGACATTACAAAGGTACTCAAACTATCCAACCAGGAGCGAACTCGTAACAATGGTTTTAAATTAGACAAATTTAGATTTAGGCCGGAAATTGGTAAACACTGGTTTGGAAACAGAGTAGTGGATGAATGGAACAAGTTACCAAATATCATCATTAACTCAAATACGCTGAATAGCTTCAAACATAGTTTGGATGCTTATATGAGCAAAAGGGGTTGGGTGTAAACGGGACTGCCCAGTATGGGCCAATAGGCCCGCTGCAGTTTCCTCCATTCTTATGTTCTTATGTTAATACAAAGTAAAGCCATACATTTGTGATATGGCTTCCTGTGGACACCTGCTGTCTCTAGGGATTTTTTTTTACGGGATTAGCCCACCCGGGCACAGGTCACTGACCCACATCAGGGTCTGGGGGATATAATAATAATAATAATAATAATAATAATAATAATAATAATAATAATAATAATAATAATAATAATAATGAGTAGCAATTATTAAAAAATAATAAAAATTAAATAATAATAATAATAACCATAAATAAATACAAAAACGAAAATAAATCAAGATTGAGAAACGATATACAGTATGTATGTTGTGTTGTCAATAGTAAGAGAAACAATTGAGACCCTGCAATTGTGTGTAAATGAAGCAAAAAGTCAGTCAACAACCTGCTACTTGGTCACAATTTTTGTTGTGCCATATGGCAGCTGGGTCTACCATTACACAATACATTACGCTTTCAATATCTTCCCAGGCGGTAGTACCTCCCTGTTTTATAGTTGCCAGCTACCTACTACCTACTGTCCCTAGGGACTTAATCTCACTTTCCTTTACTGTATCTATTAGCCTGGTCAGTAACTACTCCTTAGTCTGCACTCACCCCTGAAAATGCGAATTGCACGAAAGCGCATGGGAAGTTCGTGTTCATTTTTTCCTATGTGGTCCGGATCACGCACACCTACCTTTACAGTGATTTATCTAATTGAAAAAAAAATTAAATAAATAAATAAATATATATATATATATATATATATATATATATATATATATATATATATATATATATATATATATATATATATATATATATGCTGATAACCACAAGGAAAAAGAAAACACGAAGTTCCCAAGCGCTTTCGTGTAATTCACATCTTGGGAACTTCGTGTTTTCTTTTTTCTTGTGGTTATCAGCATATACCTGGATCATGCGCACCTACAGTGATTTATTTGCATATATATATATATATATATATATATATATATATATATATATATATATATATATATATATATATATATATATATATATGTGTGTGTGTGTGTCTGTGTGTGTGTAGTTTTATGTCATTCATTATAATTCTGACTGCAGGTACAGAGACATACCTCATTAAGTTGAAGGCCTCTGACACACTGGCCACTCTGCGCTCCTACCTACGATCGTATCGCGGGGACCACGAGGAGTTCGATATTGTCAGAACCTATCCCTACCAGGTGAGTCATTTGAAATATATGTTTACACCTTACATTTGTAAATGCACACAAAAGAAACAGGATGCATTTATAAGTAGATAAAATAGTGCAGATGCTAGATGTGGAATGTGCAGAATAACAAGGTAATTGGGTAAAAATAAAAACAGTGGGTAAACAGTGCTTGTGAAATTAGCGTGAAAATGTGGTTGATGATAATGAGGAATTTAACAATGCATGGAGAAAATACAACGATCGTCCGCTGAACGTGAATTTTGAATGTGACGGCAGTTTCAGTATAGAGACCATGACGGAGGATTGAATGAGAATGGTTGAAGGAAACGATTAATAAAATAAAGAATGGAAATGCTTCTGGTAACTCTGGATTCGTTGCCTCACGTGAGTGACGTGACGATAATGACAGAATTAACTAATGCAACTTTGATGGAATGTGTTGTTCTAACTGACAGGCTGAATGGCGTGAACTTAAGAAATAATATAATAGGGGCTTAAAGCAGTTACGTCAGGTTGGGAGAGGTGTGGAAAATTTAAAGGGAAAGAAGAGTCACAAATGAAAAGACTTTTGAATTCATCCCAGACAGGTGATGGCAAGTCAACTACAAGAGAATGTTTCAGAAATGAGAGAAAGCTTTTGACAGGGTGTCACATGAGAAAGTTGGGGGTCAAGGAGAGTCTTGTTTGAGTAGTTATGGAATTGCATGAGAACTCAAGAACCTCTATGAGAGTAAATGGCAAGGAAATAAGGAGCTCATCAATGGCTTGTCTTGAGCCTCATTGTGTTTATCGTGGTGCTAGAGGCAATATCTTGATATTTTAGGACTGGTCTGACCTAGGAGTTGTTGTGTACTGACGACTTATCGTGGCATAGTTTCTTGAAGAAGCGTAAACTAAGAGCACTTACTTATACCTAGTTCATTGCTCCCAGGTGTGCAGGGTAGTGGTTTAGATACATGGGTCTGCCTGTGATGTAGGATAACTTTTGGAACTTGATCAAGAGAATTAACAACCATGCCGATGAATATATAACAATAAGAGCAACAGAGTTTTGCATGTGTATATATATATATATATATATATATATATATATATATATATATATATATATATATATGCTGATAACCACAAGGAAAAAGAAAACACGAAGTTCCCAAGCGCTTTCGTGTAATTCACATCTTCAGGGGTGAGTACAGACTAAGAGAAGTACAAAACAAGGTGTATATATACAGAGGAGGGTGAGATCAGGTCCACAATGGTCAGGTATTAGGTAATGACCCTACTAATCTTTAAAAAGCACCGCAACGGTCGGTAGTCAGGTCAGAGGGTAAGGTGACCCAACCCAATCTCACTTCTCACCTGGTTACAAATCTTCTTAATTACAAAATTGTCCAGTTTGTACATGCCATTAATGATAACCACAAGGAAAGAAGAAAACATATACCTGGATCACGCGCAACTACAGTGATTTACTTGCGCATATATATATATATATATATATATATATATATATATATATATATATATATATATATATATATATATATATATATATATATATATACATATATATACATATATATGTGTGTGTATGTGCGTGTCTATATATATAAATATGTGTGTGTGTGTGTGTGAGGTTATTGTAGCATTCATCCATTCTAAAGAAAATAGTTTTATGTAACTTAATACTATGTGTTGTGACCCAGGTGTTAGATCAAGGAGGAGCCACCATGGCCGAGCTGGGTCTTACTCCAAATGCCGCCTTGCACCTCAAGCCTGCTTCCAGACCTCACCCACCAGAGTCCCTCTCCCTCCAGACCAATACAGCTCCAACTGCTGTCTCTATTACCTCAGCTATGGCTAACAGTCATACCTACAACGTGAGTACTCTGGTGAGTGCAGCGGCAGGAATCCAGACGTCTTCGACCACAACTTTTACAGCACCAGTCTCCCGCCGGGTACCCTCGCCTGCCCTACCACAAATACCCCCTAACCTGCACCCAGACCTGCCTCCGCCACCCGTGCCCATCCTCTGCTTTCCTGACTCACAGGACACTACCTCCGACAGAGAGTCATAACGTTTCATGAAATCATGGTAAACTTTCCTTATGGAAAATTTTGTACTGCTGCAATGTGGTACATCAAATTGTATTAATATTATAAACCTGTTGAATGTACTAGAAAAAACATCAAAGGCTAGAGCAGTTTGGATGTAATTTTTACTAAATATTTAAGCCCTCAATATCATTATATATATGTATGTATATATATATATATATATATATATATATATATATATATATATATATATATATATATATATATATATATATATATATATATATATATATATATATATATATATATATATATATATATATAGGTTATAAAGGAACCATTGTAATATGATGCTATAATGTAACTCAGGATCAATCTAGTCAGTAAATCATCAAAATAACTACACAAAATAGTCTACCAGAAAATTATACAGAAGAGTCTATACTATAAATTAATCTACTTAATATATAGTCATTCCTTATGTACGTATATCTGAGAGATGTCGCCCTAGCACCCTTACGCATTTTGTAAGATATTTAGATGTAAATCTGTTTAAGTTATCGCGAAAAATTTCTGACGAGGAAGGGGCACTGTCCTGCACACTAGGACAGTCAACTGGACAAAGTAAATTAGTCCGGGAGTCACGTGAGGTTTAACCATCAAGTTGAGTATAAGGGTTTGAGGTGGTCAGTGTGAACAGTTAACTTTCTTGGGCTTCCAAAGCCATTCTTTAAGTTGCGCCAATGATGTTTGTAATTTTTAGCCTAAAGCTTCATTTATCATCTATTGGTATTTCTATTGGATAGGTATTTATGTTATACATCAGTGCAACCTTTGACCTGTTCTTAAGCATTTTTTGTACTAATATTTTCATTGTTAAATTGGTGATCCTGAATCTGGTGATCCAAGGCTACATTACAGTTTAGGTTTCACACTAATAAAAATGTTGATTAAAAGTATAATTTGCACTAATTAGTCGTTCTACAGTTTACATTCCTCTATTGTTTGGCGAATAAATTGTTTTTTACTCTATATGTTGATTAGAACCGTTTAGGGGGTCCAAAATGGGCACCTCTGCACACCTACCATCCCAAACCTTTATGCTCGTCATGCTGATTAAATCTCACTTCGGTCCTCGACTGAACATTGTGCAAAATCAAATTACACTTTCTTCAAATACTTATAAATTCAAAGCTCGTATGTTTTACAGTCACAAATACAGTAAAGTGTATACCAAGTGTTGGTGAGCATGGTAAATATAATGGTGCCATCGAACTTTCTAAGATATAATTCCCATGGTAACGATAAATAATCCTAACCTGCTTAGTTGGCTATGTACGAACGAGCACCAGTTGACAAGGACCAGGCATATTTCTAGTAACTTTATTATTTGGTCTTCTTGTTAGCTTGAAGTTGATTTTCTTCTTTTCCTCCTCTTCTTGCTCTCTTGGATTGTCCATTCGGTAGTGTTTGGGTCCTGTTCTTCGTCCAACCCTCGACCTACTGCGTGGGACCAGGGAACGTTACCGACCATGCCACAAGGACACTAAAACCAGTTCTAGACTATGATATATTTCACACAAAGCCTGTTCATCAAGCTGATGGCGCCATGAACCTCCTATTGGGAACTGCCCGTGTCGCTTATGTGGATGTCAGTAGCATTTTACCGAATCCAGCTGGTATGAAACACGAGGTACCATATATACTTCACTTTTAGTCAGTCCATAAAACACGCGGACTTTGAACATATAATCAACGACCTCACCAGCCAGGACTTGAACCCTCGACCTACTGCGTGGGACCAAGGAACGTTCCCTTGTCCCACACAGTAGGTCGAGGGATCAGTGACTCAAATATATATATATGTATATATATATATGTATTTATATATGTGTATATGTATATATATATGTGTATATATATGTATATATATATATGTGTATATGTATATATATATGTGTATATGTGTATATATATATATGTGTATATGTATATATATATGTGTATATATATGTATATATATATATATATATATATATATATATATATATATATATATATGTGTATATATATATATATATATATATATATATATATATATATATATATATATATACGATTCAAAATTACAAGTGCCAGTGTCAAATATGACATAAACAAAAAAATATGTATAAACTTCAACTAGTCATGATAAAAGAGAGTCCTCACAATAATCTCAGTGGAACAAACTATTCTCAGTCAGGTATTTTTTGCCTTTTTCACTCCTGTACTATGACACTGTTGATTGGCCTATTATACATTCAGTATGGTAAAATAATTTTGGGGGAAATTTTATTAGGAATTTTATTAATTTCATATTAGTAATTGCTGAATTACTACTTTATTCAACTTTCTCTATCCTGATCAAGTAAAGGGGAAACTTATTTCAGAAACAGTTGTCACGCAGATTCCGCTCTTATACAGTACAGTATACTTCCTTATTCCTAGCGTCGAGAACTTGTGAAAATTCCATGAGAATCCCACATTTTTTTTTTTTAGAACGCCGGTGCACTTATCAATGACCATGAGAAACCCACAGCTGCAAGGGCAATTGTCCTTCCTCTGATGATTGGGGCTGACTATACTTTCTTTCATCAGCTTTTTTTTTTTTAAGAAAGCTTATATTCCTTTTCATTGTGTCTAAAATTTACTTTATGCTGAATTTGCTTGACTTCTTATTTCAGGTTTTTTTGTCTCATTTACCATCACAACTTTTTATAATTTCTGATAATAGCAACATTTTCCATCTTTTAAGTTCCTTGTTGCATGCCTTATTATTCATTTCAAGATTACTGCCTATTTTCGAAAACAATCATCACTTTCGTCATTACAACCAAAATCTAATTAACCCAAGTTCAACCCACTTCGAGTCGAACACTCGTTCTTTGCCACACATGATGACATCTGGTCTGCATCCCTGAGGGGTGGCCTGGGGTGGGAGCTCAGTTACCAGCTGGCCGACTTGGTGTGAGGGTCTGTGACAATGCCTGATAAATGGACCATATCTGGATGCATATCAAATTACAGACTACATGATAAAGTTTAATATTTTATCAGTTTTTAATGGATGAAAAACAGAAAAAAGTGGATTTTATTGTGCATGCAGCAAATATATAGGGTGCAACAGGAGGAAGGGCAATGCTAGAGAGCCGTTGGCAGGCTTAAATTTGAATTCCCTAAAGTTTAACTTTCGGCCATGAAACTGGATGCGGAGAGACAAATACCTATTTGTTGCTTGAAACTGGTGTATAACCTAGTCAGCTGTAATATATCTAGTGGCCATATTGATAAATTGAAAACCTCTACACATATAAACTTGTATTCATTGATTTAATGTAATAGCTTGAGGAGAGAGAATGGTGATAATTGTGATCGTTAAATTTGTTTATTATTCCTTCTGCCCCCCCCCTCCCCTCAGGAATTAGTGGCAGCAAAATCATAGTTTAAAAAATAATAAGGAGAGGAAGATGAGGATTGTTAAGAATAATTATAAAAAAATAAGAAGATTAAGAAGATCATAAAATTAATAATTACACAAGAAGTTCAAGTGGCTAACTAAAAGATGGTGTGCTAGGGGATGAGAGAATCAGGATAGATGGCAAGAATATCTTCTAATACAGTGGGATGGTCTCACCCGGGATAATATAAGAGTCCTCCTCCCTTGCTACCGTTTTCATTCTCTCTAACGGGGGGATCGGTGGTAGATGCGGTACCGTTCTTGCCTCGCAAGCGAGATGTCACGGGTTCGATTCCCGGGCCGGTGGAAGTTGTTTGGACTTACTTCCTTGCCCCCATTAGTCCCTGTTCACCTAGCAGTAAAGTAGGTACCTGGTGTAAATCGAAAATTGCGAATTCGTATTCAGGGAAAGTTGTTGGAGCTTCCAATAACTTCATGACATAAAACCACTGACTCTTCAGGCTTCTACTCCCTTAACTCGTGAGACATGAAGGCAAGCATGAACTTAGCATGCTTCCCTGTTGGGCGCTGTAAACGCTTCACCTTACACAAGGATGTAGGGGGTGCCCAATAAATAGTAATAAAAAAAAAATCTCTCTAACCTCCTCTCACATTGAGCGGTTACAAAGACGACAAGGTGGCTTGGATACGCCCGGAAAAGCCGACCTGCCCCAAGAAATTAAACCTCCTAGTCCTCAAGAAATTCTTTGAAACTAAAGGGATCGTGGGGATTATCAAGGTGGAACGACTGAAACTGCATGGAGACATCAAGATCACTTTCGCCGAATATGGTCAGCCCGAACAACTCGCGGAGATCCCCGACATCAACGGCATCCAAATACAAATGATTGCCTACATATGGGACAACTTGAAGCTGGGAGTAATCTCCCACGCCAAAATTGCCCGCATGGACCAAGAAGAGCTGGACGAACTACTTGAGGGACAACTCAGATGTGTAAAGAAGCTGTCCGACACCACTGCCCTCGTCGTGGGTAACAGTGCCAGTCAAGCCTTACTGCAGATCCAAACGCTGCTACAAATGCCAGCACTACGGTCACACTGTCAACAAGTGTGAGGCGGAGGAAGACTCTGCTCCCTGTGTGGTAACCACGGACACCGCTACACCGTCTGCCCTAATACAGTGAAAAAATGCGCTGCCTGTGGCGCACATTCCTCCGCCGACCGGACCTGCCCCAAATGGAAGGAGGAATGCAGGATAGCCAAGGCTCGACTCGACAAGAATTTGAGTTACAAAGAGGCCCTTCTTGCTGTACACGCCCAAGACAAGAAGAAAAGAAAAATCAAGAAAAGAAGACCCAAGAAAAGACACACGTTACCAAGAAACAAGAGCACCACGAGACCCCAGGGGCAGAAGCTCTAATCAAGATCACCCCCTCCGACTTCATCCACATCTAAGAAACACCTAGGGCACGACGAAGAACAGGACCCAAACACTACCGAATGGACAGTCCAAGAGAGCAAGAAGAGGAGGAAAAGAAGAAAATCAACTTCAAGCTAACAAGAAGACCAAAATATTTCCTCCAAACAAGAAAACACCACGCCCAATCAAGCCGACCAAGTTCTGACAATCCATTGCCCAACCCGACACGCACCTGACGTTTGACCTGACGCTCACCTGACTCAGGGTCCTGCCA